CCGACATCATTCTCAGAGTTACAAAACTGTCCCCAAGACAGACGGTTCCTGTTCATCCTGGTGAGTCTGTCATTGTGATGATGGGTCAGAAGGTGGAGAACATTTAATGATGTTTCTGGTTCTAATCTTTTGGAGAAAAAAACAACAGTAAAACAGGAGAACAGAGTAAATGTAAATGCCTGCCTAAGACTTAAGCACAGGACATCTTCATGATGATGATGATGATGATGATGGTGATGATGATGATGATGATGGTGATGATGATGATGATGATGATGGTGATGATGATGATGATGATGGTGATGATGATGATGATGATGGTGATGATGATGATGATGATGATGACGATGACGATGACGACGATGACGATGATGATGATGATGATGATGATGATGGTGATGATGATGATGATGATGGTGATGATGATGATGATGATGATGACGATGACGATGATGATGATGAGGAGGATGATGATGATGATTATCCACACTTTAACGGTCTTTTTCAGAACAATATACCGGATGGATTCCTGGAATCATAGTGAGACTCCTCTTGTTGTTGCTGCTGTTCTGTTTGTTCTAATAGACTCGGGTCATACTGATACTGAGTTCAACTCTGGTTGACCTTCAGTAAAAGTATCCTCATCATCACTTGGTTCTGTGTCTGGTTCAGTTCCTCTGTATGTTATTGTTCTGTTCTGTTTTTTGTTCTATAGGTCTCAATCTGTATGTTATTGTTCTGTTTTTTGTTCTATAGGTCTCAACTCTAACCAGTGCTGTGTGTCCAAAGGTTCATAACATCTTTATTCCTTAAAGACGTTTCACTGTACAAGAATACATTTGTACAAAAGTGTCAGATATTTAAAAAAAAAACAAAACAAAAAAACAAAAACCAATTAACACGTACTAGACTGCAGGAAAAGGACTAGAGAAGAATGGGTTCCAGGCAGAACACAAGCAACAAGGATATAGAAGTTGGTAAAAATGAAGACGTAATAACCGGTTCTGAGCAGCTAATACTACACCGTTGACATCTGTCATCAATTCCAGAGGAAACTTCAACAGTAGAACATTGTCTCTTTTAAGGATTTGAACATCTTTCTCCACCAGGTGGAGTCATCCAAGAAGTTAAGAGGCTAGGCAGATGACTGATGGCCATGTAGAACACAGTATGTACGGCAGGAGAGGGCGCTAGGCTACCTGTTGCGGAGAAAGGCTAATCCTACTGCCAAATGTGAGGACTGTTCTATTTTGTCGTCGTTCTGTTCTGTTGTTCTACTCTGTCGTTTTGTTTCGTTCGGTTGTGTTGTTCTGTTCTCAGGAGGTTCTAACCGCTGTTGATATTTCCACCTTGATCTCAGTTGATTTTCAATAACAACCTGCTTCTTTGTCTGGTCCGAGGACTGAAACGTTCTTTCGGGAAAATAGAAAGTGATGATGGTTCTTGTTTAGAACTGTTAAAGGCAACGCAGCTGAACACTTATTGCAAACAAATATTATTAAAAATATAAAACTGTTGTCAAAAGCTGTTGAAGCCACAGAGATCATTTTAACATCAGACACCAGCAGGTATTTCAGGTTTGACAACAGTCTCCCCAGAGTAGGATCAAGTTCAGTCTTATCGAATCTTTTCTGGTCTAATCTAATCAATACATTTGTCTGAGGACTTTTCTGACTGGTTAAATGCCTCCCTTTAATTTCTTTTTCCAGTTTTTAAGTACAATATGAAACGATGAAAGCGTGTTTGTGTCTGTTTTCATTTGATCCCTGTTAGGGACAGAAACATCTAACAGAGGTATGTATGTATTACTGAAATGATTTGGAATGTAGTAAGAATTAAACTGATTCATTTCCATGTAATTCTCTGTGTTGTCTCTGTGCCAACACACACTACTTTTACCAGAGTTCATTTGAATTAAAGCAGAAACTGAGACAAAAGTTCTGACTAGTTTAATTTTAACTTTTACAACAATAGCTGTGAAAACAAAACTGGAAGTTTGTTTCTCTGTAAATGCTTCCTGGGTGACTGTGTTCAACAGGGGGCGCCACTGAGCAGATCATGACGTGTTCTTTCCTCATACCTGGATCAGTTCTTCCTGAGAACAGATCAAGGTCAGAGTCTCTGCTGAGCTTTTTCAAACCTCATCTGACTTTTCTGACTTTAAGGTCACAGCAGTTACAGCAGCAGCAGCAGAAGAAGAAGAAGAAAAAGAACAAAAACAACAACAACAACAGAAGAAGAAGAACAACAGAAAAATAAGGAGGTAAAGAAGACAGGAGTCAGTCTGGATTAGACCAGTCTGTGCTCAGTTTTTCTTACTTTCATTTTCTCCCATTTCTTCCATTGTTTAATAACTAGCTTCACAGAATTTGTGTGGAATTTAAATTATTTGTATTTTCATTTTCTCTAATTCTGTTTTTAAATATTATTACTGAACCACTTTGTGACTTTGGACCTTGTACTGTTCAATTTTATTGTGTAATTAGGTCATATTTAACAGAATAAATGATTCTACTTTTTCTTTGAGGTTCACTTTTCCCTCCATATTCCGCAAGAGGAAGTGGTTTAGTTAAACTTTTACTTTAAATATATAGTTATTTTAAGGTCATTTATTTTGCTAAAACTTTACCTTCCTACCTTTCCTCATTGTGCTACTGTTAGCTACTGTGTTAGCTTGCTTTTCTGCACACACAATTTTAAAACCTTTAGCAATTTGTGTCTATGTTGGCTAACTTACGGTGCTAATTCTTACCTATCTTAGTTACCACTGAATTTAAGCTAAGTGTTTATTTGTTGACTACCTTTAGTCTTCTGGCTACCAAACGTCTTGAGTGTGTGTTCTCAGCTTAGCCTTTGCTAAGGGGCGGTTGTGGCTTAGTGGTTAAGGAAGTGGACTTGAAAAAAAGTTACCACTGAGGTGCTTTGTGCATGGCACCGTGCCCTCACACTGTTCACTTTGGTGATGGGTTAAAAGCAGAGGTCACATTTGGTTGTGTGCAGTGGTGTGCTGTGTCACAATGACAAGTAGTTCACTTTCCTTTTTTTTTTCCTGCTACATTTGAGCTAGGAAGGCCACCATTTTGCTAATTTCAGATCATTTGTGTACTAACTAGCAAATTCTGGGCTCCACCTCGTATACATATACCTAATTTTTTGGGATTTGGAATTGTATCATATACATATACCATGCATATGCTAATTTTTTGGGATTTGGAATTTTATCTCTAGTTTTTTTTTTTTTTTTTTTTTTAAAAAAAAAAAATTTTCCGCTTTTTGTTTTTTTTTTTTTTTTTTTTTTAGATAAAATCAAAATATTGCCAGTTTGGTCTGTTTTGGTTTTTTTTAAAGACCTTTACGTTTCTCACTTTCTCTCAGTGTCCACTAGGACTGAACCCTTTTCATGTTTTCTTGTTTTATCTTGTCCAAATGAATTATTACTTCATAATTCTGTTTTCTTGTATTTTTACTCGTATGCTTATCATAGATAGATAGATAGATAGATAGATAGATAGATAGATAGATAGATAGATTAATCCCAACCTGGAAAAAAAAAACTAAACTACTATAAAATTATTGTATGTTTCTTTAAAATTCTGTGGCACTACCTTTCCTCCCTACTCTTTCTTTATGCACACTCAACAGGAAGTGCCAGTGCAGTGCCAGTGTGTGACTGTGAGGAGGAGCAGCTGTGGCTCACCTCATCAATAGCAGCAGTGTCTACAGCCATGACGCAGCAGCTTCTTCTTCTTCTTCTTCTCCTGGGCCTGCTCTGTCTCTGTCACACAGGTCAGTCTGAGTGTGTGTGTGAGACAGTCGGATGACTGTTTTTGCCTGGGCCCGAGACAAGATGATCTTAGACGATTAATGTCGTGGGCGGTGGCGGTTCTTGACCATCTCAAAGGCAATTTGGAAGAAAACA